AAGGGGAGAGAGGTATTAGAGATGGTCCAGGTAAACTTAAGGTTGGGATGGAAGGTGTTGGTGAAGTGGATGAACTGTTCGAGCTCCTCGTGGGAGCACCAGGCGGCGCCGATACAGTCATCAATGTAACGGAGGAAGAGGTGGGGTTTAGGGCCAGTGTAGGTACGGAAGAGGGATTGTTCCACGTAACCTACAAAGAGGCAGGCGTAGCTTGGGCCCATGCGGGTACCCATGGCTACCCCCTTTGTCTGTAGGAAGAGGGAGGAATTGAAAGAGAAGTTGTTGAGGGTGAGGACGAGTTCCATTCTGTTAATCATTTCTAAGTTTTCGAGAATATTATTGCATTAAATCTTTCATCAGCTTTACTTACCTTAAAGAAAATATCTGGAAAATTGCAGTATTGGCCAAATCAATTCCTACTGCCTTTAGTCGTTAATCTTTCCTGAAGATTTTCATCATGCAACAATCAGGAGAATTTTCAAGAATGCCAATGAAATGGAAAATGAACATTTGTACCATAGGAGAGCAGAGTGGTGGTTAATTAGCAAGTGAATTCTGATTGGTTAGAGGAGTTGCTGTGGAGAACACACTCATTAATGAAGATTGACAGTTAACAGCCAGGTTTTGTTTAATTTTGAATCAGGTAGGTTGACTCTGAGTGGGAATAACACAGTGTGGAGCTGGTGGAACACAGCAGGCCAGGCAGCATCAGAGGAGCAGGAAAGCTGACGTTTCAGGTCGGGACCCTTCTTCAGAAATGGGGAGGGGGAGGAGAGCTCAGAAATAAATAGAGAGAAGAGGGGTGAGGCTGGGGAAGGTAGTAGGGATGGTGATGGGTGAGTGCAGTAGGCAGTGGTGGGGATTGGTCAGTGAGGTGGGAGGACCGGATAGGTGGGAGTGAAAATGGACAGGTTGTGTCAGGTCAAGGAGGTGGGGATGAGTGGGAGGGTTGGTCATGGGATGAGGCTGGGGGTGGGGAGATTTTGAAACTGATAAAGTCCACATTGAGACCATTGGGCTGTAGGCTCCCAAGGCAGAATATGAGGTGCTGCTCCTCCAGTTTCTGGGTAGCGTCGTTGTGACACTGGAGGGGGTCCAGGATGGACATGTCATTCAGGGAGTGGGAGGGGCTGTTGAAGTAGTTCGCGACCAGAACGTATTGTCGTTTGTCGCGAACAGAGCACAGGTGCTCTACAAAGCGGTCTCCGAGCCTCCACTTGGTCTCACCAATGTAGAGGAGGCCACATCAGGAGCAGCAGATGCAGTAGACCACATTGACGGATGTGCAGGTGAACCTCTGACTGATGTGAAAGGTTTGTTTGGTGCCTTGAATGGAGGTGAGGAGGGAGGTGTAGGAGTAGGTGTAGCACTTCCTGCGGTTGCAGGGAAAGGTGCCGGGGGTGGTGGGGCAGGTGGGGAGTGTGGAGCAGACGAGGGAGTCATGGAGAGAGCGGTCTCTACGAAAGTCAGATAGGGGTGGGGAGGGAAATATCTCTTTAGTGGTGGGGTCGGATTGTAGGTGGTGGAAATGGCGGAGAATGATATGTTGGATACGGAGTTTTGTGGGGTGGTATGTGAGGACAAGAGGGATTCTGACTCTGTTTTTGCTCAGGGGAGAAAAGTGTCTACAGTTCTTACTATCTCTGACTGACTCTGATTGGTCAGCCAGTATCCTGGTGAATGTTCTCTGCATCCTCTCCTGTGTAATCACTTCCTTCCTATAGTACGGAGACCAGAACAGCACATATTACTCCAGCTGTGGCCTAGCCAAAGTCTTATACAGCTTCAGAATAATCTCCCTGCTCTTATAATCTATATCACAACTGAGAAAGGCAAGTATGCCATATATCTTCTTAATGATCCTATTGACCTGTTGTGCCACCTTCAGGGATCCATGGACAGGCACGCCAACATCCCTCTGTTCCCCTGTTTCCCTTGTCTAAGTCATTGGTATAAATTGTAAAAAGGTTGATTTCATGGCTGAGTCACTATTGGCAGCTGTTTACCTGCAGTGGCTGATGACACAGTCATTGTTGCAGTATTCGTTCTCCCACTCGGTGCTCTGTACAGGTGGGTTTGAAACACTAGGACCAGGAGACTGGGCGCTGACTGTGTTCTGAAATTCTGGCTGCATGTGGGCATATCCCTGTAAGGCAAGAAGAGAATTTCAGAGACATTATCATCTGTAATTCTGCGATCCCTAATCATTGATATTCAAGGGAGCTTCCAATAAGGAGAAAGGAGTCACTTATTTTTGCTTGAGAAACATTTAAAATGTGATTCTGTTGATAACTGCATGCCTGGGGCTCTAAATCCATGCAACCTTCCACGGCGAACGAAACCTGACATTTCTCTAACTTTGAAGAAAGCACAGAGGGAACCAATGATAGTCTGCAGCAGGTCAGAGGATGGTGCTCCTGTCAAAGGGAGTGCCCCAGTCTTTGGGCTACAGCTGCTGAAGTTGTGGAGGAAGTTCTCCTGCAGTTCCTGTCTCCATCGCCCAACGATACTCACCTGCTGGCCTGCTGGAGAGTGAAGTTGCGGCTGGGCTTGCAATGGCACCTGATGAGAGATGATTCGCTGGTTCTGCACTGACTGCATGGAGATGGGCTGGCTGAGGACATTGGCCTGTTGTTGCTGCCCCTGATGGTGATGGTGCTGCAGGGAGAGCTGCTGGTGCAGGGGGGGACTGATCTGCAGCGAGGGAGGGGGAGAGCCGCTCAGGGGCATCTGTGACATGACCGTCTTGGAGCTGAGGGTCCGTGAGAGGCCATGGTGGGAGGGGCCCGAGTACGTTTGCAGCTCTGACTGAGGGAGGAAGGAATTTGGTCCAATGTAAGGTGCTGAGGTGTGCGGGGGTAGGTTATAGGGAGGCTGCTTCGGGGGAATCATGTGCGATTGCTGAGATGATTGGCCATTCTTTGTTTCCACTTGGTCACTGTAGCTCTGCAAGACAAAGGCAAATGAGAAAGGTTGTTAGATTTGCTGCGTCAGCTCAACAGAAAAGCCTGTTGCTTACACTGGTCAATGACAATTCAGTTCCTGTCAGGAGTTAGCCTGATGCTCTCCTCAATCATAAAAAGATTCATGAGAATGATTTGTGGCTGATGTGGCAATGGTTTCATCACATTATAGAGTCATACAGCATGGAAACAGGCCCTTCGGTCCATCTTGTCCATGCTGACTAGGTTTCCTAAACTGAACTAGTCCCATTTGCCTATGTTTGCCCCATATCCCTCTAAACCCTTCCTATCCATGTATCCATCCAGATGCCTTTTAAATGTTGTAATTGCACCAGCCCCCACCACTTCCTCTGGCAGCTCATTCCAAACACACACCACCGTCTGCATGAAAATGTTGCCCCTTAGGTCCCTTTTAAATCTTTCCCCTCTCACCTTAAACCTATGCCCCTCTAGTTTTGGACTCCCCCACCCTGGGGAAAAGACCTTGGCTATTCATCTTATCTATGCCCCTCATGATTTTATAAACCTCTATAAAGTTACCCTTCAATCTCTGATGCTCCAGGGAAAAAAGTCCCAGCTTATCCAGCCTCTCCTTATAACCCAAACCTTCCAGTCTCACTAACATCTTTGTAAATATTTTCTGCACCCTTTCCACGTTAATAACATGCTTCCTATAGCAGAACAACCAAAATCCTACACAGTATTCCAAATGTGGCCTTACCAATGTCTTGTACAGCTGTAACATGATGTCCAGCTCCTATACTCAATGCTTTGATCGATGAAGGCAAGCGTGTCAAATGCTTTGTTCACCAGCCTGTCTACCTGTGACTTCACTTTCAAGGAATTATGTACCTGAACCCCTAGGTCTCTATGTTCAAGAACATTCCCCAGAGCCCTACCATTAACTGTGTAAATCCTGCCCTTGTTTGTCTTCAGGGGATATTTGCAATCGGTACAAGGCAACATATGCATTGACCAGTCAGTCCTGACATTGCTGTTTGATTCACAGGAGAAAGGATGAATTGTATTGATTCACCCTCAACTCTAAAATAAAACAAAGACTTGGGGATGTTGGAAATCTGAAACAAAAACAGAAGTTACTGGAGAAACTCAGCAGTCCTGGCTGCGTCTGTGGAGAGAGAATCAGAGTTAGTGCTTCAAGGTCCAGTGACCCTTCTTCAGAACTGTGTCATACTGGACTCAAAATGTTAACAGTTTCTCTCTCTCCACAGATGCTGCCAGAGCTGCTAAGTTTCTCCAGCAATTTCTGTTTTTGTTTCAACTTCATCATATTCAAGAAAGGACATCACCTTGAAAGGAAGTCTTGTCGGAAAACTTTGTGCCTTTCAGTTTAGTGTAAACACTTTCCAGTGGGGGAGGTTATAGCCTAGAGGCATTGCATCTGGACCAGAGGCTCAGCAAATGTTCTGGGGTCCTGTGTTCAAATCCTACCATAACAGCTAGTGAAATCTAAATTCAACTTTTAAACAAAAAAATGGAATTGCAAATCTAATGATGACCATGAAGCAGCTGTCATATAAACATATCTGGTTCACTAATGTACTTTAGGGAAGGAAATCTGCTCTCCTTCCCTGGTCAGAGCTACATGTGACTCCAGACACACAGCAATATGGCTGACTCTTAACTGCCGTCTGAAATGGAGTATAAAACAATTTGAAACTGCTCTCTCTAGTTCCCAATTGTATTTATTAGTGACTGTCTCATATTTATTGTCCCAATTTTGGAATCAGTGTGAGGTTTATGCTGTAAATTGTAGGAGATTGGGGTATTTTCTCCTGAGTGACTCCCATCTGTGATCTTGTTGAAGCTGCCATTGCTTACCTTGGATACTAAACTGGCTCTATAGGCCGCGAGTGCTTTCAAATATTCCTTTTTCGCAGCCTCAGTTTTTCTCTTGTATGCCTGTAAAAACAACATAGAATTGCATCATCATTTTATTTTCAACTGAGAAAAGCCATGACTTAAAAGAGCAAGAGACACACTGAGTTCAGTCTCTCACAGTCTTTGGTTGATTGAGTGACTTGAGTTTTAAATAAATGGGAACAGGGAGGCATGAGGAGGCAAGGAAGCTCCAGCATTTTCAGTTTGTGGGAAGACAAAAGGAAGGGAGGAGCAAAAGGGAATAAATTGGATAAAACAGTGGAGAAAAATAATGTTTAGGAGGCAAGACAGAGTGTGGATGAAGCACGAGAGAGTGGGAAAAGAGAAACTATCAGCTCACTAATTGGTTTATGATCTCAGTGTCTGTCTCTCTCACACACACACACACTCTCTCTCACACACACACTCACACACACTCTCACACACAAACACACCAACAATCTCTCACACACACACACACTCTCACATTCACACCCCATCCCTCTCACACACACACACTCTCTCACGCACAAAATCTAACACACACCCTCCTTTTCTCTCTCACTCGCTCACACACACACACAAAATCTGACACACACCCTCCTTCTCTCACACAACCTCACACACACTTTGCGCAGACTCCATATTCTAAGAAAACTACATCATTGAGTCTATCCAGGTAACATTTATTGTAAAATTACAACAACATTCACCCTATATATCCCAACAATGACACACCAGTGATACTGCTCTGTCAGAAGGCTCCTAAGGCAGTGTGGAGCTCTGTAAAATTTCAGAAAGATTTACTCTCGCCCCAACTTGCCCCCAGGGGTACTGCAGGGCAATGTAACATCAGGAATGACCCACCATTCCAATTCCTCGGCTAACACATAGCTTCATTCATTATTAATAAATGGCAGCATGGGGTGGCATGGTGGCTCAGTGGTTAGCACAGAAGCCTCACAGCGCCAGGGACCTGGGTTCAATTCCACCCTCGGGTGACTGTCTGTGTGGAGTTTGCACATTCTCCCTGTGTCTGCGTGGGTTTCCTCCAGGTGCTCCGGTTTCCTCCCACAGTCCAAAGATGTGCAGGTTAGGTGGATTGGCCATGCTAAATTGCCCATAGTGTTCAGGGATGTGTAGATTCTGTGGCTTATAGGGGGATGGATCTGGGTGGGATGCTCTGAGGGTTGGTGTGGACTTGTTGGGTCAAAGGGCCTTTTTCCACACTGTAGGGATTCTATAAAAATAAAATAAAGGGCCATGTATGCATGATGTGGAGTGCCAGTGATTCCCAATGGTATTAATAAGCAATGCATTGAAGTATCTGTAATCAAACATGACATTTACCCTTAAATAAAACAAAGAACTGCAGATACTAAAGATCTGAAACAAATACAGAAAATGCTGGAGAAATTCAGCAGATCTGGCAGTGTTTGCAGAGAGAAAAGTGGAGTTAATATTCCAAGTCTGGTTACTCTTCCTCAGAACATTCCTGAAATTGAGTTTCTATAGCACTTGCTTTTCTGTGAAATTGACCCTGCTCACTCTGGCTGGAGAGAAATCTCACGGCAACAGAGAACATAAGCTTTATGTTGAAGAACTTTAGACTTTGGAGAGCTAATTATTGAAAATCATTTTCTGCTCTTAAAAGAAGGACTACCTCCTTTCCAGAATTTTCTTTTGGTGCCTGGAGACAGAAAACTTTAGTATAGAACCAAAAAGAGCTCTCGAAGCACGGTGTCAGATACAGAAGAAATCTGAAGACCCTCTCCTACGGCATAAAACCCTTTGGGACTCACTTGAAAGCCAATACTTTCAAATCTTGCTCAATGTGAAGGATGGGCTGAATTGGAACATTCCAGCCCTGAGTGACTGGTTTACAATTCAATGAGATCATGGTTCATCCATGGACTCCATTTACCTACTGTAACCTCCCATCTCTTAAAACCATTGGTCGCCAAGAATCTATCAATGAACTATTGCTTTAACACCACTTGACAATCATGGAAGTGGGTTCCAAACCTCTACCACCAATGGTAGGAATCACCTCTTTTCACTTCAGAAATGATTGGTTCTAATGTTTGCACTGTACACCCCACAGCACTGGACTTACGAAGGTAAAGTAGGCTTCTCCCAGCAGAAAACCTCACAACCTTTAGAAAGTACTTGGATGAGCACTTGAAATGTCATAACATTCAAGGCTATGGGCCTAGTGCGAGAAAGTGGGACCAGTGTAGATAGTAGCGTATGTTTGGGGTAACATAATGGGCCAAAGGGCCCCTTCTGTACTATATTCTACACACAGTCTATTCAATGGCGTGCCCTGTGACCCAGCACAGGAGGGTCCTGGATGGCTGTTGAGAAGTTTAACCTCACTTAAGCCATGTGACACATGAGTAACACAGAAGCTGTGAATTTGGATGAGCAAAGACCCACCCCCAGATGTAGCCCTGAGGGTGAGTGTGGGTACCTGCAGATGGCACCTGCTGTTATCAGTGACCTCCTGGCTTGCTGGCAATCCGATTATATCTCTTTAGCCTCTAGATGAGCATTACTCACATTTAGAAAGTGCATAGTCACACTGAAACGTCTCACACCACTTCCCACAGCCATTTGCTTGCTGTCCTTTGGTGTTGGGCAGGTGTGGATTGTGAACGCACTGGGACAGTGTGCACTCAGAAACTTCACACCACAATTATCAGGCACGACCGTCACAAAAAGGGGAGGCAATGGCCTAGTGGTATTATCGCTTGGCTGTTAATCCAGAGACCCAGATAACGTTCTGGGGAGCTGTGTTTGAATCCTGACATGGCAGATGGTGGAATTTGAATTCAATAAAGCGTCTGGAATTAAGAATCTAATGATTATGACCATGAATCCATTGTTGAGTGTTAGAAAAACCCACCTGGTTCACTAATGTCCTTTAGGGAAGGAAACTGCCATCCTTACCTGGTCTGGCCTACATGTGACTCCAGACCCACAGCAATGTGGTTGACTCTGAACTGCCCTCTGGGAAATTAGGGATGGGCAATAAATGCCGCCTGGTCAGCGACGCCCTCATCCCGTGAATGAATAAAAAAAGACAATTAGTGTTACCACCTGGCAGCAGAAGCAAAGGACAACCTGGCCAAATGAGGTAGAGTTAGAGCTCGCTAACAAACAGGCTCAAGAGGGTGGTATGGTCTTCTGAGGAAAGGTTAAGTAGGGCCTGTACCCATTGGAATAGAGAAGAATGAAAGGTGACCCTAGTGCAATGTACAAGATTTTTAAGGGGCTTACTAGGGAGATGTGGAGAGGTTGTTCCCCCTTGTGGGAGAGTCTAGAACCAGAGGGAATAAACTCAGAATAAACGTCGCCCATTTAAGACAGAGCTGAGGAGGAATTTCTTCTCCCTGAGGGTAATGAATCCATGGAATTCGTTATCGCACAGGGTTGTCCAGGTTGTGTCATTAAGTATATTGAAGGCCGAGATAAATTTTTAATCAGTAAGGAGAATTGAGGTTTATGGGGAAAAGGCAGGAAAGTGGAGTTGAGGATGATCAGATCAGCCATGATCTCATTAAATGGCAGGGTAGACTTGATGGGCTGAATGGCCCAGTTCTGCTCCTGTATCTAATGGCCTGGAGAATTTACTGGCGGCTGTACTGGAAGCGTCTCGTGTGCTGGGATGGAGTGTGCCTGACCCCCATTTAATTTGAATGAAAGGTTCTCCATCTCTCCAGCTGTCGAATGTACAGCACATTTTGTGGTAGTGGTCATTTCCTGGTCACCATCATTCCCAACAACCCCACACACCTATAAGATCCATGAGGATATACTGGTGCCTTCATTCCCCATTGACAGGGAATCAGTGTCTGAGAATATTGGTTTTTTGGATTGCTGAGGGTGACAAATGGAGGTCAGAGCTGACCAATACTGAGCCCAGTGTGCCCCACACACAGTGCCTGCTTGTGCTTATTTGAACACCTCAAACAAATCTCCCCTCAACTTTCTCTTCTCTCAGGAAAGTAGGCCCAATCTATCTATCTCCGATCTACCAAAGTCTAACATCCCTGGAACCATTCTTGTAAAGCTTTTCTACACCCTCTCTGAAGTCTTCCCCAATTGCTAACTATCTCTCGGAATGCATTCTGCGACACGCAAGCGAAGCAAAGTATTCCCAGGCAGAGGTCACATAAACTGATAGACTCCACTCATCAAACCATACTCCAGACAGAGAATTGTCACATGACTAGTCAGGGGGAGGGGTGGCTGCACCTATTTTTTTCCAAACTGACACTGAACCAAATTGAGTGAATAGTGTCAGAGATAGTAGGAACTGCAGATGCTGGAGAATCCAAGACAACAAGGTGCAGGGCTGGATGAACACAGCAGGCCAAGCAGCATCATAGGAGCAGAAAGGCTGACGTTTCGGGCCTAG